TACATACATACATACATACATACATACATACATACATACATACATACATACATACATACATACATACATACATACATACATACATACATACATACATATGTATGTATGTATGTATGTATGACATCTATATATAAATCGAGACTTTAATGAATAAAGTGTTGTATTGAAAATTGGAAATGTTAAATTGAAAAAATATTTATTGACAAAGGGAGTATTATTCATCAAACTTAGTTTGATAAAATTCAATTTTAATCCAAAAATTTTAGAGCCTATATTACTTATTTGCAAAGGGCCTTTTGAAATGATTGGACAGTCCTGGACTTATAGAGAGCTTAACTACTGATACAGGCTATGTCTCGAGCTAGTTAAGGATTATGGTTATTGTATTAACTATGATCAAACAAAAGCGAATGTTCTATCATATGCTCTGAGTAAGAGTGGGATGGTATTTGAGTTGCATATTAAGTTGAACCTGGATGCTGATGTCATTCCTACACAAATGGATGATAGGTTTAGTAGAGAAATTTCTAACAAGTTCTATCATGGACAGAGATCCAACTATGTCATAAAAGAGAACAATGTTTTATTCTTCAAAGGCCATCTTGTTATCCGAACTTTTGAGCTAAAGAAATGTAACACCCCAACCCGCTTTGCCAAAAACAGTGGGATTGTGAATTGGGTTGCGACATAATTTGGTATCCTCATGCAAAATATTTAAAAAACGATTTTAAACAAAATAAATTCATTTCTCCCACTGACCTTAAAATCTTCAAGGAAATGAGAATCTTTGGTTTCTACAATGCAAGTGACGTGGGAAGGACAATAAAATATGCAACCCTTTGAGTGAAAAGGATAACCAATGAAGTAGCAAGTTACAATTATCATGTCAAGTTACAATTATCATGTCAAGTTTCGGTGAGACAACCCCATAATTTCATATATCTTAAACTCGGCTTCCTTCTTGTCTAAAGTTCATAAGGAGTTTAAGAGACAGCTTTAGAAGGAACCCTATTGAGTATATGAACGGCTGCCATTAAGGCCTCGATCCAGAGAAATAAAGGTAAACCTGAGTTGGCTAACATACTGCGTACTATGTCCATTAGGGTTTTATTTCTTCTCTCAGCAACACCGTTCTGCTGAGGAGTATCATGCACAATATAATATTGGTTCACGATCCCCTAGCCCTTACAAAACTCATAAAATATACTGGGAGCTTGACCCACATCTGTATGTCTAGCATAATATTCACCTCCTCTATCTGATCTTACAACTTTTATCTGACGATCAAGTTATTTTTAAACTTCAGATTTATAATCTTTAAAAGTTTTAAGGGATTTAGATTTTTCCTTAATAAGATACAACTACATATAACGAGAATAATCATCAATATAAGTGATAAATGAGTTATGTCCAGTTATGCCAGTCATAGAGTAAGGACCAGTAATGTCAGTGTGAATAAGCTCTAATAAATTAGAACTCCCAGTGACACCTTTCTTATTCACCGATGTCATTTTACCTTTAAGACATTTGACACATGTTCCAAAATCATTGAAATCGAGAGATGGTAACACTTCATCCTTCACGAGTCTAGAAAAACGTTCTCGTGAAATGTGGCCTAAGCGTTGATGCCACAACATGGATGAAGTTTCTGATTCTCATTTTCATTTTCTCTTTGTTAATGTTTCATTGATGTTATATGACAACAAAGATTTGGAAAAATCATCATCTAGTTCTAATTTATAGAGACCACCATCCAGAAAATCATGACCAAGCACTTGAGAATTTAAACTAATAGTAATTCTGCCATGACCATGAGAAATATCAAAACCATCGATATCTAACTTTGCTCCTGACACTAAATTCCAAGTAATCTCGGGAATATATAAGGTATCACAAAATTTAATACATAAACCAGTTTTCATTATTAATTGTAAGGTTCCCAGTTTAAGTGTTCTTCGGTTCTTTCTAACTTCTGAACGGCAAGGAATCTCTGAAATGAGTTTGTTACAAGAACCATAGAACTAGAAGCAAACCACCACGTATTAGTTGGAACATTTAAATTAAAGGACTCAAGTATCATGTAAAGATGATTACCTTTCTTAGTTAGGGTCGGTTCCGTAGGACTTATTTTTTATACTTATTACTTATTCTTATTAAAATCAGATCAGATCAGATCAGACCTAATCAGATCAGATCCAATCAGATCAGATCAGATCCAATCAGATCAGACTCAATCAGATCAGATCACACTCAATCAGATCAGATCAGATCCAATCAGATCAGATCCAATCAGATCAGATTAGATCCAATCAGATCAGACCAGATCCAATCAGATTAGATCAGACCAGATCAAATCCATTAATATCAAATCAAGAAAAAATATAAAAGATACTCGTAATATTTATTTTTTCAAGGATTAAATAATAATTACTATTATTTGATTAAATCACATTACTTTATTTAAAACTACACACACCTAAATCTTAATTAATGTTGTAATTTTAAATATTATTGTTTTTATATTATTATTATTATTATTATTATTATTATTTTCATCTACAAACCATTATTTTAAATAATTGTTTAGCTTGTAGGATAGAAATGATGCATGGAAGCAATGTTAAAGTTAAAAGTTTTATTTTTCCAACTTTAAAAAGATTTATTTTAAAATACTTGTTTATAAAATAATTATACAAAACTCTGTTTTCAAAACTATAAATATTTTATACTTAAAAAGATTTACTTTTAAACTTTAAGATGGTATAATATACACAAGGGTGAATTTAGGACAAAATTGATAGAGGTGAAAGCGATATTAGTGTTTAAAATTTTATATGATCTTTAATTTGTAACATAAAATATATTATTATGTAATATGTATATACAATGTGATATTTTTGTAGAATAGCATCAATATTTTCTAATATTTGTTTATTTTAATACCGATTATTTAGTTTTCACAAAAATTAAAAAAGTTGTGATATTGAAAAGATGTTTAATATTTTAAAAAAAATTTAAACATATTAATGATTAGCTGATTTTTTTATTTTACTTGTTTTATGTATATATGAATTGTAATACTTTAAAACTATTAAATTTTGTAATAATTTTAAGTTTAATTTAAATCAAATTTAATTTCATTTACACTAGATCTAATCAGATCAGATCAGATTCAATCAGATCAGATTTAATCAGATCAGATCAGACCCAATCAGATCAGATCGAATCAGATCAGATCAGATTTAATCAGATCAGATCAGATCTAATCAGATCAGATCAGACCCAATCAAATCAGATCAGAACCAATCAGATCATATCAGATCAGAACTTCAAAAATTCAGATCAGATTCAATCAGATCAGGCGTATGGAACAGAGCCTTAGCCACTCTTTAAAGTCATTGCAGTCTTACTGTCTATGTCCTTCCTTGCGGCTGAACTTGCAGTCAGACTTCCTTTGGAGTTCTTAGCTCTAGAAGCACCACTTGCATCGCATTTCTGGACTTTAGAAAATTCCTTCTTATCGACATTGCCCTTCCTCTTCTTTGGATTAGCAGTCATGAGGTAAGCCATACCAGGTTTGTCCAGCTTCAGACACTCTTCTTCTTGTACACACATAGCAATTAACTTATTCATCGACAACTTGACCTTCTGGTGTTGTATTTGACCTTGAAAGCTTCAAAAGATGGAGGAAGAGAAGTCATGATGAAGTGTACTAGAAAACCCTCACTTATCTCCATGTCTAATCCTTTAAGCTTACGGGCCATGTCATTCATCATCGTGATGTGTTCACGAATGTCGCTATTCCTGTCATATTTCATAGTCACCATCTTCAAAATAAGAGTACTAGAATGTTCCTTAGAAGTTGCTTTCAATTGTTCCTCCACGGAAGCCAGATATGTTTTAGCATTATATGAATCTAGAATAGCTCCCCTGATGATTATGTTGATGGAATTTTTAATGAGCATAAGAGCCATTATGTTGCACCTCTCCCATCTCTCATGTGCTATTTTTCTTCAGCATTACTTTTATCAGTGAGGGCAGGAGGGGTAGGCTCTCTCAGTGCATAATCAAAATCCAACATTCCAAGAGTTAGCATCAATGAATCTTTCCATGAAGAAAAATTCGCACCGTTCAATTTTTTAATTCCCATATTTGGGGCTGATAGTGGATTTACATGAGACATAAGACACATAAGTAAAGAAGAACTTAAGAGGTAATGAACTAAGGATAGCGAAAATAAAGACCATTATATTGTAATGAAGTTGTGATAAGAGTCCATTATAACACCAAAATAATAGACTAAATTTAATTCTACTTAAACAAACGACTTTCACTTTGGTTATGACCAACTGTTTAAGTATTATGAATAATAAATTTATGATGCACAATTTGAGTATAACACATCATATTTTGGCAGAAGTGAGACATTTAAATTTTAATGCACATATATATTTACTTCGCAGTACACAATTATAACACATCATCTTTAGAGAGAAGTGAAATATTATGTATTTAAGGCCAATGTAATGGGAATATCTATTTAAAGATACACACTAAGTGACTATGCTTAATTAGACTTGAACAAATTTTACAAATATTACACATCACCTTTGGGCAGAGGTGTACTTTAAGGTATTATTCAAGTCAAGCAAAATAAATCAATTTAACTAACATAAAATTTTTTTTATTTGAATTAGTTAAATGATTTAAAAATTTATTTTTAATAATTCATTAACCGCAAAAATTAGTTTAAAGCAATTCGGGTAGGGGCCTCAAAAAATTAGTGACCCATTAAGATTAATTTAATTCAGAAATCATAAGGCATATACTTTCGAAAAATAGAAAATTTAAATTTTTATGATATTTTAGCATGTCCCTTACTTAGTTTTTCTATTCTTGTTGAAATAAATACCAAAATAAATACCAAAACGAGATGATTTCATCAAAAATAAGGATGAACACTTTGAGATAATTTATCATAATTATACTCACTGGAATTTAATTGAAAACAGGAATATTAAAGGTTTAATTTCGGAAAAAATTTGTTCTCCATTTTCATGAGAAGAAATAGTATACGGAGATTTCAAGAACATATTATAACTTTGTTTTTGGGGAGATCAAAACAAATCGGCAAAACAAAACTTATTCTCGCTGTGATAATAATACTCCGTCATACTTTATTGAATTGATTCAATGAGAAAATTGAAAGCTTAAAACAATTTATGTTAGGTTTTGAAAACCCGTTTTTCCTATGGCAATTCTAGTATTTTTAGGGAAACGAATTGATTAACCAACATGATTGCTCCGATCCACATGTTGATATATTCTTAAACATAATATAAATATATATATATATATATATATATATATATATATATATATATATATATATATATATATCAAGAATTAAATCATGTGTACCAGATAATCCTATGAACATAGGATGAGGCCATGATTCTAATGCGATCGAGTTCCCCTTTAGGGTGTATCGTTATGATGGATAAGGTGAGGACGATACTCACGAGAATAGAGAGACAGAGAGGAGGCGTAAGATTGGTAGTTCGTGATCTCTGCCTAATGACTAGGGATGTAAATGAATTGAATATGTTTTGTTCGATTCGTGATTCGTATTCATTTAAGGTGATTCATATTCGATTTTTTCAAATCCGAATACGAATACGAATCTGAATAAATATTCGAATCCTTATCGAATACAAATATGAATCAAGGGTATTCGATTCGTGAGTTTGACAAATATATTCGAAATATAAATCTAATTATACAAATTATATTTATATTTATATTTATATATATATATATATATATATATATCAAATGATTATAAAATATTTTAAAATCTAAATGAATTGAATATTTTTAAACAAACCGAATATATTTAAACGAACCGAATACGAATCTTAAAAAATATTCGAACCGAATTCGAATTCGAATATCACTCCATCTTGACGAATATGAATATTTTTCATGAATATTCGATTCGGTTCGGTTTGTTTACAACCCTACTAATGACCTCTCTATATATATGCACCCAAGGGGAAATCCTAAGTAGGTCGTAAGGTAATTACGTCCATCGAATAATTACCAAGCATATCAATAAGCTGAATTCGATCTTAACCAGACTTGCGTCAGTGAAGATTAAGTTTGATAATGAAGTTCAAGCTTTGCTACAAATATCTTTTTGCCTGAGAGTTGTTCTAGAACGGTTATAATGGTTACCAGTTCAGTGGGACCTGATGGATTCACTTTTGATCAGATTCATGATCTCGTTCTTGACGAGGACGTCATAAGAAAGAGTTCTAAAGAGTCATCTAGTGAATTGTTACATGTTAGCAGAGGCATAAGGAATAGAAGAGGTAGTTGAAGCAGGAGCAGGCAAAGATTCAGTCGAAGACTCATGATAGCTTAGGTGTAATGTGCTGGAAGTGCAAGGAGGTGGGGCATTTTAGGAATAAATTCCCAAATGATAAGCTAGTGAATATTGCTGAAGGCTCCACAAGTGATAAGGAGGTCCTTCTGACTTGTTGTGCGGATAATAATGTAGATTCTTGGTTCATGGTGCTTCATTCATGCTACCCACAGTGGTGAAGCATTGCAGAATTTGGTTATTGGGGACTTTGGAAAGGTACGACTAGCGGACGATAGAGCTCTTGATGTGGCGCGCATGGGTGACATGGTATTGTAGACCCTAGTCGGTTTCTAAACTTTCAAGGATGTCAGAGTGGTTCTAGCCTTGAAAAAAAGTTTGATTTCTGTCAGTGGGTTGGACGAACAGAGACACGATGTGAAGTTTGGAGACGAGCGGTTGAAGGTCATGAAGGGAAATCTTTTCATGGCTCGTGCAAGAAAGAGAGGTTCGCAATATATGGTCAAGTTACCATCTGAGGGAGTGATGGTCCCAGTTCAGAGAAATAAAGTCCAATTCACAGAGTCTCGTGGGAAGAAGAAGGTTGTCCGTGCAAGAAAGAAACCTAGAGCCACAGGTCAGACTCAAGATGAACAAGCGAGGAAAGATTCAAGGAGACCAGTCAAAGGTATGTGTGGCAGTGGGAGCTCATGAGGTGCTTCAGCCAAGGTTCCTAGAAGACAATGGTTCGGGAGAACTAGTATTCCAGCTGTTGGAACTTCTCTAAAAAATTTCTTGCTAAGTATGGAGAGTGTTTGTTCTCAGGATGTTCCAGGATCCGGAAGTGTGCATTTGCAGTGAGAGCCGGCAGGGACCGAGGTCGAGTCAGGGGCAGATTTAGCCGTGACTAATGTGTTAGAGATTGGGAGAGCTTCAACGGGTCTTTCGGTTGTTTGATGAGAGGGCCGCGGTAGCAGGAGAGTTGAGGAAGATTACTAGATGTACAACCGATCGTGGTGGATTGCAGTTGATGATTATCAAGCCTCTAAGTGGGAGAATGTTGGGTTTGTGGAGGCTAGATATTTTTGGGCTTGACTTGGGCTGGCCCGTCTTATTAATAACTCATCTTTGTTTCTTGGGGAATAAGCTTCATAGCCCTAGGTTTCTTTCTATATGTACGCATCTTGTACTTGTGATTCAGGTGACACGACAAGTGAATAAAATTCTCTTGTTGCATCCATGGATTAAGGAAACTGAACCACGTTAAAATTCTTGTGTGTCATTTATGTTCCGTTCTCTCGTTTTCTCACAGATTATTTGTGTGTGTTGTGTATTTTAATTCCCAACAGATTGATTGTCACTTTGTTTGTGATGAAATTCAACGTGGGATTCTTCATACTACACACATTGCTTACGCTAATCAACCTACTGATATCAGCACTAAGGCTCCAGCTTTTGTCATCCAACCGTTTAATCATTTGTTGTCCAAGCTGGACACTCGTAATGCGCACACTCCCACTTGAGGGGGGTGTTGAGTGGGACTCATGCATGCACAACTGCACAAGGGAACCGAACCCCAAAGGGATTTGGTTTTGACTCTTTCTAGTCTGAGTTGATTTCTTTTCGTTTAATGTAAATTGAAGATTTGAAGCGACTAGAATTGGTATCGTATTTTGTTTATTCTTGATTCCCTATATATAGAAGGGAAGCTCTTTGTCTTTAACAGAATCATAGATTATACAAAATATTTATTCGATATTATTTTTCTATACTTTTTTTTATGAGTAATGGTAGATTCACAAATAATTTAGACACAAACTTATTATTTGTGTACTTCCCAAGTGAATAAAATAATTTTAAATAATTTAAAAATTAAAATTAAAATATACAAATAGGTAAGTTTGTGAAAGTCGTGTCTACTGTTTGTGACTCTAATATTAGTCTTTCTTTATTTAATTTTTATTTTCTATTCAAGCCACTTCATTCTATTTTTCATTCTTTTTCTTCTTATTTTCTTTCTTCATCAAAACAAAGAAGAGATAATAAATAGAATGATGTTCAAATCGTAGGCAAATGATGAAAACTACGACACCCCAATACTAAATGATTCCAAATTGATGTTTGCAGTCGGTCATGAACTTATGATTCCGTGGAATATTAGGTGAAATGCGACGGTCGATGAGTACATGTGGTTGAGACGTTCGTGTATGAAAAAAGGGGTGGGCGGTGGACTCCTATTTGTTTTTGTGCAAGTCTCTAATTAATCTATCTCAAAACATTTGTCATATTATACTCCTTCATTTTTAAAAGATTATGATGATTTTACTTTTTTTCTTAAATTGTAATGTTTTTTTACTATAAATTGTAGAACAAGTATATTTAGTTATAATGTAAATTTAGTAAAATTATATTTATTTTAAAATATAGTTTTGAAATATCAAATTTATATAATATTTAATTATTTTAAACTATATTTAGTTAATGGTCAAAGGATGTAACAATTTGACCAAAAAGATCAAACTGTGGTAATCTTTTAGAGACGGAAGAAATATATAATAAAATAAAATTTTAAGTTTTTTAAAGCTTATTTATTTAAAGGTTAGTATAGGACTAAAAAATAAAATTACATATATAAAAATTACGTCAAAAGTTAATCAAACAAAAAGTGATAAGAATATTTTATTTTATCAAATTATCGTTAAAAAGTATAAATAAAAAATTTCATAATTTTTGAAAAGTGAACTGTGACATGTTTTTGGAAGAGATGAAATAATTCCTTATAACATCACTTTTTCATATATTTTTAAATTTAAAATATGAGTATTATATATTTATATTTTTTGATATTTAAAAATTGTTTCATGATTAGTTCTTTCTAGATTCTATGAGAAAAACAATAAATGAGTCAAAGAGCTAACGAAGAAATGATTTTCATTAAAACTAGAGACTATATATAAAGAACTCATTATGGAATAATTCTCCTTAGAATTAGAGACTATAATATGAGAAGGTCTCCGTTATACTGTAAATAAAGATTTATAAAATTTACCCGTGCTTTTTGGAGCAAAGAGCTTAATTAATCTTTTCTTTTTTAATCCTTTGTTTGATTGAACATTAGTTTTCAATAAATATTTTTAAAAATTGATGTAGACTTTAAAAAATAAGATTTATATAATTTTAAATAAAACAAAAAGGCAATAAAAATAAGATGTATAGGGCTTCCATGTTTTTATTCCCGAAATAGAAGTTAAAATGTATTTACATTACCAAACATGGTCATGTACATTACCAAAAAGTATAGGGATGTGCATATGTAGAGTGTCACATTACCACCGCATTACCATAGTATAAATTCCTATTTCAGGAATAAAAATATGGAACTCATATTTTGATACTTTTTCTATGTTTAGTTCTATTTAGGGTGATTCTTCTAAAGAGTTCTACAAAATAAGACGTGACAAGAATATTTTATTTTATCAAATAGTCAATAAAAATACATAAATAAATAAAGATTCCCGCGATTTTTGAATAGTAAGATGTGTGAATTATTTAGGGACTAAGGGAGTATATTTTTACTTTTATTTTCCGAAACATAGGTATTATCAAAAAATTGTACTTCTGTTTTTATAGGCAATGCTAAAATTGGATTATTACATTTTGACCATGTATATTGGCTTTTAATACGGAGTAATATTTTTTAGTACTCCGTATTATATATTTCTATTATTGATATTATAGGTTCTATTCCGAAAATAAAAATATGAAGATCTTATTTTGTTTGCTTGTTATGTAGTACGGAGTATATTTTGTCCTAATTCATTTTTTTATGATTAAAAAAGAAATAAAACAAATGAGACTTGTTTTCTGGGGCTTAATTTATTTCTTCTCAAATGATTATTTGACCAATTTTGAGGGCATCGTCGGGATGGGACTCTTCCGTTTTATTTGAAATAAAATAAATGAGCTGTATTTTTTGAAATTTCCAAAAAAGTAATATGAAGTAATCTTTTTTAGTGAGCGTTGCGCAGTTGGGAAAGGAAAAAATGCCAAGACGAAAATCCTTGATTTTTATTCTTGGAAACTATGCCCGAAGACACTTATATTAAGAATAGAACATCTAAACTTTACCATCAATCTAAAATTGAAGTCTAATTTACACTCTTTCAAGTTTCAAGTGATTATGTGCTTTCAAATTGGACTGAAAGAGTAATAATTTGATTGAATCGTTCGAGGGAAAAGCCTTACCCGCCCAAGGCCCACCTGACATTCCACCCACTTTCATATCATCAATAAAGAGCTATAATTAGAATAAAACCGTATTGGGCCATCAATTACTCTATAAAGGGGTCCTGCCCTTATGCATAAATAAAAACACATTCTAACTAATTCCTTAGAGAGTCTCATACTCTATCGTTGTTACGATATTTAATTAAAATTATTTTCAAATTATTTATATGAAAAATAATATTAAATTAAAAAATAAAAATTACATATTAAAAAACTACATTAAAAGATCTACAAAATTAGAGGTGACATTACTATACTATTTTATCAAATGAACAATGAAAATAAGCCAACAAAGTGAAAAAGTTTAACCTTGTGAATAATGAACGATAAGATAATTTTTGGACAGAGGGAGTATATGATAATTTTCTAATATATGTTGATTCCCTTTTGTATTTCTTTCCCTTTGTATTTAGTTACCATATTGAGTTCCTAGCCTATGAGATATTCATATTGTGAATACAAGAGAAATTCTCCCATAATACTATTCTTTCATGGTACCGGAGCCTAAAACCTAAAATACTGATCCTGGCCGATCAGCACTGAGCCATTTGCCACCCTTGGATTTTCGCTGCTGCTGCCGCATGGTCGGTTGGCCGTGATCATCCATCGACCGTCGCTGCCATTTCACGGACACAGCCACTCCCGCCATCCGCCGCCGCTCCCGCCGCTGATTCGATGCCGCCGTCAAGTAAGTTCGAGGAGCCGACAGAGAAGATTGCCTCAGGCAAGAAGCCTAAGGAACCCAATAAAGATGATGTTGTAATGCGACATTATTGTCTCAGTGTTCAATTTGTCTCCAAGTGATAATACTGGTATGCTTTTAACCCAGGTTGTCTTGAAGGGAGATACATGAGTGGTCCAAATCTCCGTGTCATGCTCTTCAAGCACGCAAGAAATTTGGATTTGTTGATGGATCGATCGAAATCCCAGATCCCTATTCTAATGATTTGGATGATTGGTGGACAAATCATTCTCTTTTGGTCTCATGGTTTCTGAACTCTATTGATCCAACCTTGAGATCAAGCATATCGTTCGTAGAGAAGGCCTCTAACTTGTGGAATGATCTGAAGGCTCGTTTCTCTCTTTTTAATGGACCTAGGGTTCAATAGTTCAAACGGGAGTTGGCAGAGTGCAAACAAAAAAATCTTTCATAATGGAATATTATGGAAAGATGAAGAAGTTGTTGGATGACTTGGCGGATCTTGAGTGTCTTCTAGTGTGTGTATGAAAAAACCACACATGCGATTTCCCAGCAATGCTTGCGAAGATGCGTGAGACAGAGTGGGCACACCTATTTTTGATGTGATTGAATGATTCATGGTATGCGACCCTACAGTCGAATCTGTACGACCTCAGACACTACCAACTATTCTAAAACCAATTGGTGTTAGAAGATGTGCATACCCTAGCGTTATAGTGCATTCAACACACAAGCGCTCACAACATTCGATTGTGACTTAGCACACATAGCCTCCGCCCCAAGACAATTGATACACACATGGCCAACAATCTCCCCCTCAGCAATTGCTCCTGCTGGGAATCAACTCGTGAACTTGGCTCCGATACCACTTGTAGGACCTCAGGCGCTACCAACTCTTCTAAAACCAATTGGTGTTAGAAGAGTCGCATACTCTAGCCTTATAGTACATCCAACACACAAGTGTCGACGATATTTGATTGTGACTTGGCACACATAACCTCTGCCACAGAACAATTGATGCACACATGGCCAACAACTACTCCCCTAACCCACCCCCTAACCCACAACCCTATCCCCACCCTCCACCCTAAGCCCCCCAAATGTGTGGCTATAATGCAATGCATAATAGCCATACATTTGGAGAGGGGC